CTGATATAGACAACGCTAACAATTCACTGATATAGACAAGGCTAACAATTCACTGATATAGACAAGGCTATTATTTTACTGATACAAACAAGACACGAGTTATTTTTGTCAGATGGGAAGTTGTCTGAAGTGATCCACAAGAACAAGATGCAGTTGAAAGAATTGGAATTTTCAACCTTAACAAAACGAGCTGAGTCAAAGTCTCCAAGGATTCATGCATAGCCGTACTAATTGTGAATACTTACCAGGGAAGAGGCAGCTAATTACAACTATTTGCCGTCACGAGGTTTCGTACGGTCTTTTGAACCAAACTGTGAGACTGACTGTCACATTTATAACACGCCCATAGTGAAAGTGCAGACCATAGTTTTAAACGTTAACCACTATACGACACATTCTGCTAAAAGAAACTTACTCTTAAACCATAAACAATAAAAAACAAATCACAAATTTAAATAACTGTAGATGACGTAACTTAAATGATACGATAATATTAAGGCTTATGTCTGTTCTTAATTATCTAAAGGTTTGAGATGTATTGTATGTATATGAAACGCGTCTTTATTTTTTTTTCGTTTTGATTTACTCGAACTTACCGGTTAAATCACCTTTTCTAGTAAATTCACTTTGTACTTGAAAACGTATAGAATTCACGCTTCTCAGATTGCTTAACATTACCTAAAATAATTAATGATATGTCACAAAATAAACTTGTTTTATTATATTGTGTTTAATGTGTTTGTTTGTTTGAAATTAAGCACAAAGCTATCTGTTCTCTGCCCTCCACGGGTATCGAAACCCGGATTTTAGCGTTGTAAGTCCGCAGACATGCCGCTGTGCCACTGATGGGCGTGTTTAATGTGAAAAAAAAAGTTTTTATATTGGATTTAAGTTTTTTATAGTGTTTTATAGGTTAGCTCCGCTTTGTCCAATCACAAATCACGAATATTTTCAGCATAAATCAGTAAACTTACCGCTAGCCAATGGCGGACTTCATTTTAAGAATCGTTCCAAAATCTTAGCGTTTTACAAAACACTTTTAATGTTCATTAATGAACCGTATTTCAGTATTGCTATTATTAAAATTAATTTTAATATTACAAAATGAACGACCTTATAACACCAAATCTGTTTTTCTTTTATTGTAAACTCAACGTTTCGCTTTACAACTTTTTCAGGAGCATTCCACTAAAACGTACAGTCAGTTACAGTTTGTGTTTTAGTGGAACGCTCCCGAAGAAGCTGTAAAGCGAAACGTTCAGTATCCAATTCAACAAAAGTTAATTTGGTGTTATAAGGTCGTTCATTACCAGTATTAAAATATCTTTTATACTCCAATATATAGTACATGAAGTAGATAATGTATTTCAGCTCTGTTGTTACTAAAACGTATTTGGATATTGTTGGTTGAGATCTCAGTCTTTCGCTTCAGTTCTTTCCAGCTCAAAATTTTAACATTAAATTTAAAAACGAAGATGCCGATAAGATAAAGGAGACTTGAAGTTTAATGTTAAATATTATTTTTATAAAGTTTCTAAGTGATCTTTTTCTCAGTCACGTGTCCTTATTTTTTGAACGATATATTTTCTTAAAAGCTTGAAAATGTTGTTGGACTTAAATAAATATAGCTTAAAATATTAAGCTGATCACTCAAATAAGGAAAAAAAATACTTCCAACATGATGATTTTATGGCTAAACACATTTAAGCTGTAATATTTTCACAACAACTCGATTAATTTAAAAAAAAAATATCGGATAACATATCTTAGAAATCTTAACAGCCATATTTGACAGTTGTTGTCAAAACAATGCACAATTACATCTAACTCTAGTATCAGAAGCAAACTTATAGGATGTATTATCTAAATTACCAAATAGTCCTAACTTAACTTCTAAAATATGTGAAAAAACTGGAAACAAAGAAAAATGATACAAATGCTGAAATACTTGTTTTTTGAATCTCACACCTTACAAAACTTCATAATATTAATTAGCTATGATAATCATAACATAAAATAACAAGATAACCTTAATGTAAATGTATAATGATTATTTTTGCTTAATATGGTTCACGAACTCTACTGGCCGATAAGTTTTATACATTACAGTTCTCACTAAAAGTCTGACTTTAGTTTACGAATTTTAAAATCAAGTCTTTAAATAAAGAATCAATGACGTTTTTTCCAAGAATATGTTACTTCTTGAGAAAGTATCTTATTATAGTATCACATCATCCTGGTTCCACTTTCTTTCTTCGTAAGTAAGTATTTTATCATCATATAACATCTTCCCGGTTCCCTTTGTTTCTTCGTAAGTAGGTATCTTATCATCATATAACATCTTCCCAGTTCCCTTTGTTTCTTCGTAAGTAGGTATCTTATCATGGTATCACATCTTCCAAGTTTCCCTTAGTTTCTTCTTAGATAGGTATCTTATCATCATGTAACATCTTCCCGGTTCTCTTAGTTTCTTCTTACATAAGTATCTTATCATCATATAACATCTTCCCAGTTCTCTTAGTTTCTTCTTAGATAAGTATCTTATCATCATATAACATCTTCCCGGTTCTCTTAGTTTCTTCTTACATAAGTATCTTATCATCATATAACATCTTCCCGGTTTTTTAGTTTCTTCTTAGGTAAGTATCTTATCGTCATATAAAATCTTCCCGGTTCCCTTTGTTTCTTCTTAGGTAAGTATCTTATCATCATATAACATCTTCCCAGTTCTCTTAGTTTCTTCTTACATAAGTATCTTATCATCATATAACATCTTCCCGGTTCTTTTAGTTTCTTCTTAGGTAAGTATCTTATCGTCATATCACATCTTCCAAGTTTCCCTTTGTTTCTTCTTACATAAGTATCTTATCATCATATAACATCTTCCCGGTTCTTTTAGTTTCTTCTTAGGTAAGTATCTTATCGTCATATCACATCTTCCAAGTTTTCCTTTGTTTCTTCATAAGTAGGTATCTTATCATGGTATCACATCTTCCAAGTTTCCCTTTGTTTCTTCATAAGTAAGTATCTTTTCATGGTATCACATCTTCCAAGTTTCCCTTTGTTTCTTCGTAAGTAAGTATCTTATCATGGTATCACATTTTCCACGTTTCCCTTTGTTTCTTCTTGAGTAGGTATCTTTAATATGACATCTTATTAGTTCCCTTTGTATCATAACTTTTAAATGATTTTACAAACAATCATATGCATTTCGAGACGGCGAAATGGCTCGTGAAGAGAACAGCAGCAAGACATCGTACTCTATGAGCAAACACACCTTTACCTTATGAAACCGATGATTTACTTCTGAACGTCGAGGAATGTGCTGTTCAGCAGTTTCTGTTGTACACTCGTCAGAAAAGATGGCGTTCATAATTCAGCAGTTTCTGTTGTACACTCGTCAGAAAAGATGGCGTTCATAATTCAGCAGTTTCTGTTATACACTCGTCAGAAAAGGTGGCGTTCATAATTCAGCAATTTCTGTTATACACTCGTCAGAAAAGGTGGCGTTCATAATTCAGCAATTTCTGTTATACATTCGTCAGAAAAGATGGCGTTCATAATTCAGCAGTTTCTGTTATACACTCGTCAGAAAAGGTGGACTATCTGCGCTATCCGTCCCTAATTTAGCAGTGTAAGATTAGAGGGAAGGTAACATGTCATCACCAACCACAGCCAACTCTTGGGCTACTGTTTTACAAACGAATAGTGGGATTGACCGTCACATTATAATGCCCCCACGGCTGAAAGGGCGAGCATGTTTGGTGGGAAGGGGATTGCGAATCGAGTGTCTTTTTATCCGATCCGTAAAGATGAGGACCACAATTTCAAAAGTAGACTTTTTATATTATAAATCTTGTTAAATTCAATACAATTCAGCTTGGAAATTTCTCTTCATTGTAGTCATGACAATAATATAACAATGGCTTAAACTGTAAATCAATTGGAAATATGTAAAAGGCTCAAAATATCAACTTATACTGTCCGTGAATGTTTGAAATGTCATTGCTTGCGATAAGGAAAGTAACCGAAGAACCCAAACTTGCAATATATAAAACCTGTAGTACAAAACATCTCTGGTAGTATCTGATATAGAAATACGAAGAAACAAAAAAAAAACATAAGTACCAACACTAGAAGAGGAGAAGATTAACGGTTTGTGTATATATAGAAAGTATTAAAGCATTTGATGATAAACAAATGCTGTGATTTCAAAGCAGATTAACGGTTTGTGCGTATATAGAAAGTATTAAAGCATTTGATGATAAACAAATGCTGTGATTTCATTTTGGTTCTTTTTCTGTGAAAAATGTTATATATATATATATATATAATATATATATATAGTCCATAATATACTTATATATATATATAGTCCATAATATACATATATATATATGTAGTCCATAATATACATATACATATATATATATAGTCCATAATATACATATATATATATATATATAGTCCATAATATACCTGTATGACAATCATACATCATGAGCTTTGTAACTGTAATAATGTCTAAAATATGAAATAATAATAAATGTGTTTAATTCTATTCCGCTAATAACGACACAAGAGTAAGTTTCGACTTTAGAAAAACCTGTATTCGCTATGATTTGTTAAGATTCATGAAAACTCTTAGAAAGCTTTTCTGTTCTTTCCACGTTTTTCAGCAAACTGTCCGCACATTTATCAAAAAGGAATCGATAAGATGGCCTTTTATGAAACTGATAAATTGACGAACGAATGGGTTTTTATTTAAGCAGGATTTTCACATATTTTATGTTTTCAGCGCGGGTTTTTATTTTCCGTACATCGAACACCCTTCTCTCGGAACGAAAGAAGTAACGGATTCTAAGCCTTACATTACTGCATCGTCTTCTTTACCGTGTGGGAATCTCTTTTCATTCCGTGTATTGAGTTGGAACTGATTACAGTCGAGATCTCTTCTCTCCTGGAAGCTGTGTTCCCGCGTGCGCTTCCCGATACAGTAAAACGTCTTCACAGGTGAACTTGACTTCCTTTATAGAATATGATAACCAAGGTATCTTTTTAAAACTCCTCCCGGTATTTTCTTTGTGAACAGACATGAAAGCGGTAACTTTTCCTTCTATAAGAAACCTGCCATCCTCCTCTGTTAGTTTATCTACGCCTTCATCGACCTGAGAGATGTATTTGAAACAGACACAGAACCGGATGTTGAAGTAGAGCTCAGTTTCCGGGATGCTTTGAACTCGCTTATGAGACTAATTGAGCAGGACAAGGACAAAGAACATTTGTTATACATTATAGATCAAATCTAACATAGCTCTCAACCGAACCTCCCTCCCACGTAAAGTAAAAGCATATAAATACTAACCTTCTTGTCTGCCCTAGCTGCTCTGATAATGACAGCTCTAAACTCACGTACGTTTAAAAGTAAAGACCTCCAGTAGTAAAGGACAACTGATACCCAACTTTCAGACATTTGGTGGATTGGCAAACAATAAGCAGCTGAATTCAGCCAAAAGATAAAGATATTTCTGATTCAAGAATTCTATTAAATGTTCCGCTTCAATTTTATTTCGCTAAATACACGTTTTATGACAGTCTATATCCTTTAAAGATTGATATCATATCAGCGACATATGTGGTATTTAATATCTTACAGACAGTTTGGTACTTTCACACTATATAGTGTTTATGTCGTACCAGCGACATATGTGGTATTTAATATCTTACAGACAGTTTGGTACTTTCACACTATATAGTGTTTATGTCATAGCAGCGACATATGTGGTATTTAATATCTTACAGACAGTTTGGTACTTTCACCCTATACAGTGTTTATGTCGTACCAGCCACATATGTGGTATTTAATATCTTACAGACTCATACGTACTTTCACACTAAATAGTGTTTGAATATCATATCCTCAACCTAGCTATATTTTATCTTTGAACCATATCCACCATATCCACTATACCCACCACATCCACCATATCCACCACATCCACTATACCCACCATATCCACTATATCCACCATATCTTATATATCCACCACATCCACCATATTCTATATATCCACTACGTCCACCATATCCTATATATCCACTATACCCACCATATCCACTATACCCACCACATCCACCATATCCTATATATCCACCATATCCCCCATATCCACTATATCCACCACATCCACCATACCCACCACATCCACCATGTCCACTATACCCACCATATCCTATGTATCCACCATATCCTATATATCCACCATATCCTATATATCCACCACATCCACCATATCCTATGTATATCCACCACATCCACCATATCCACTATACCCACCATATCCTATATATCTACAATATTCTATATATCCACCATATCCTAAAAATCCACCATATCCACTATACCCACCATATCCTATATATATCCACTATACCCACCATATCCACCATATCCTATATATATCCCCCACATCCACCATATCCTATATATCCACCACATCCACCATCTCCTATATATCCACCATATCCTATATATCCACCACATCCACCATATCCTATATATCCACCATATCCTATATATCCACCACACACACTACATCCACCATATCCTATATATCCACCATATCATATATATCCACCACATCCACCATATCCTACATATCCACCATATCCATAGTTTAACAATGTACTTTAACAGTGTATTTTTGACAATGCACTTTAACAATGTACTTTAACAATGTAGTTTAACAGTGTAGTTTAACAATGTAGTTTAACAGTGTAGTTTAACAATATACTTTAACAGTGTAGTTTAAGAATGTACTTTAACAGTGTAGTTCAACAGTGTAGTTTAAGAATGTAGTTTAACAATGTAGTTTAAGAATGTACTTTAACAGTGTAGTTTAAGAATGTACTTTAACAGTGTAGTTTAACAATATACTTTAACAGTGTTGTTTAAGAATGTACTTTAACAGTGTTGTTTAACAATGTACTTTAACAATATACTTTAACAGTGTAGTTTAAGAATGTACTTTAACAGTGTAGTTTAACAATATACTTTAACAGTGTTGTTTAACAGTGTTGTTTAACAATGTACTTTAACAGTGTAGTTTAACAATGTAGTTTAACAATATACTTTAACAGTGTAGTTCAACAGTGTAGTTTAACAATGTAGTTTAACAATGTAGTTTAACAATATACTTTAACAGTGTAGTTTAACAATATACTTTAACAGTGTTGTTTAACAATGTACTTTAACAGTGTAGTTTAACAATATACTTTAACAGTGTAGTTCAACAGTGTAGTTTAACAATGTAGTTTAACAGTGTAGTTTAAGAATGTACTTTAACAGTGTAGTTTTAGAAAGTACTTTAACAGTGTAGTTTAACAATGTAGTTTAACAGTGTAGTTTGATATTATATAAATATTTTTGTGCACCTTTATTTCAGTTGTTTATTACCCACGAAATGATCAATATTGCAACCACTCAAACTGTAGCCACACGGCTCAACAAACGATAACAATATTATTTCTTCGCTTACGAAATTTAAAGAGTTTCTGCCCAATACAGTAAACTAAATTTCAAGCATGAAATTAATCATAAATAGAGGCAATCAAAAGCATTATTGAACTTTCTAAGAAAGGAGTAGTTATTAAAATCTGCGTGCTCAGACAAAACACATAGACCTAATCAGAATATTACTGCTTGAATTTCGGTACGTAAATTTCTTGTCATCCTTACGAGAACTATAAGAGGCTTTTTTGGTGCTTAGCAGGAAGGCGTGGTTGCCGTGCTGGTGTTTATGTATTTATCGATTTAACCGTATATGAGCTACTTCGTTATTGTACGAACTCTGGTCTGATATTAGGGTAAACCGAATTTTGCTGTCAAATAATAGCTTTTCGTTTGTGCATTCATACATTTCTTATGCAATAATGTCACATCAAACACGATACCCCTGTTTGTACGTAGGATATTTTCAATCACAATATCATTCGTTACTTTAGAAAATTACACGTTTCTATTTGTTTGTTTGTTTTCTCCAGCTCATTTCCTCGTCTCTATCATTAATGTTGGATATCTTATTTTTTATAATTACTGTCAACAGGCGTACATGCATGTTCCTGAACTTGTTTGTTTATGAGTAACAAGGGATATGTTTCTTGAAATTCATTCTGATGGTCAAAATACATTGTTCATAAGCTAATATAAAATCAATCCTCCAATTATGATAAGAAGAAAAGCTGATTCATGATAGCAGTATTTTTCAAGTGTTGGATAATATTCTTTTAGACAAAAAAACATTGTTGTGATAATATTTATTTTCAAGAAGACAAAAACATTGTTGTGATAATATTTATTTTCAAGAGGATAATGTATTGTTGTGATAATATTTATTTTCTAGAGCATAATGTATTGTTGCAGTAATACTCCTTTTCTGATAGAAGAGCCATTGGGTCATTGTTATCATAATATATCTTTTCAAGAGGATAATTTATTGTTGCGGTAATACTCCTTTTCTGATAGAAGAGGCATTGGGCCATTGTTATCATAATATATCTTTTCAAGAGGATAATTTATTGTTCCGGTAATACTCCTTTTCTGATAGAAGAGGCATTGGGCCATTGTTATCACAATATATATTTTCAAGAGGATGACCTTGTTGTAATACCGTTCCCTTCCACGAGGACGTGGCATTGTTGTGATCAAGGACGGCGCTAGGTGGCGGGGTCGTTTGCCCTTCCTAGCTGACACCAAAGAGCCCCCAGATTCTAGTCAAGATCTCATAAAATTAGAAAGGTATCCAATGTTAAGCAGTGGAAAATTAGTTGTATCCTCCTTACAATATCTCCCGAGTAATTTTACAAACTTACAATAAGTAATATTCAAAATACCCATTTGCCCCACCCAAGCAACGAGATTTTAAACCGTCCCTGGCTGTGATAATATTTATTTTCCAAAAAATAAGCCTTTGTTGTGAGAATCTTTATTTTTCAACAAAACTAGGTGTTGATGTCGGAAACGTAAACTGTATTCAGTATTTCATTATAGTTTTCTTACACCATTCGTCACGAGTACGTGATGAAAATGTTGTATAATAATTACCATGTGTGTGTCTTATCTTGTTCAAATGTTCCAGTATACCTGTATTAGTTCTACCCTGATGAAGCCAAAGATATAACTTCATTATTAGAATTAACCCAAAGCTTTTGTTGTGTGAAAGAAGACGAGGCGGGAGGTAGTATTCTAAACAATTCGAGGTCTCTAATTTAATAACTTTTTATGATAATATTTGGCTCCAATATTGTGAAGTTCGTTAATGACATACAGGATCGAAAATCAAACGAGACCGTCAAAGAATGAGCCTTTTATAAGTGAGATTTTTTCAGATCTGATCAAAGTTTATAAATTCATATTCACATTTTTAAACCATTAATCTAGTTTTTGAAATATTATATGATGAAACTAAAATAATTATAACAATTAACGATTATTGACACCTACTGATTGGTCGGCTGGTGATGATTAACGCTTAATGGTTGGTCAACTTGTAATATTTAACGCTTGATGATTGGTCAATTGGTGATGATTAAAGCTTGATGATTGGTCAACTGGGGATGATTAACGCTTGATGATTGGCCAGCTGGTGATGATTAAGTATTTCAGTAATATGATTCACGCTGTACTATTGGACTGTAAAAACTTCGAATGTTATCTAAATAAACCTTTTGTGTATTTCCTTTTGTTAAAGCAAAGTAAAGACCAAATCATGCACTTACACAACCCATAACTCTATAGTATTGTTTTCAAACAAACAAAAATCAGTGGTTTAGATTAATCTCAGGTGTAATAAAGAGCTCAATTTGAAGTTTCTCTAGGCTGAACCTGCCTATAGTAAAAGTGTGACAGACGTTTACCTTAACACAGGGGACAAAACGTTGTTACATGTAGTTGTAGACAACAAAATTTGAAACCCAGTAAAATATTCACTGAGTTTCAATTATCTCGATTGTAGAGTAGGCCTGGTATAACTACTCTACCCCCCAACCCCCAGTGGCTCAGCGGAAAGTCTGCAGGTTTAGGACATTAAGAATCGGGTTTCGATACCCGTAGTAGAAAGCATATAGCATAGATAGCCCATTTATAGGTTTATGCTTAACGACAACCAAACGAAACCAAAACTACACCATGTAATTTGTAATAAAATACAGCAGGTAAGGATGTGTTGAGACTTTTTTAAACAGTGTTTGGAAATTACAAAAAGAAAAGACCGGATGAGGCCCGTGGTTAACGTTTCAGGAATGTATATTCAAGCATTTATGGTTTGCGTCCCGTTGCTACAAAAAACAAAACTCATGTTGTGGCCAAGGGCGTGCTATAAAACTTGCGGTCAAATTCCATTAATAGGTCAAACAAGAATAACAGAAGAGTTGGCGGTCGGTGCTCTTCACAAGTTGCCTTTCCTCTAATTTATCAGCTCAAACTTAGAGGTGGCTATACGCAGGTAGTACTACGTATAATGTTGTGCGAAAATTGTGACAAAAAAAAAAGGTTATTCGTTGCTCTAACTAACAAAATATGAAGTGTCATTTTTTTTAACAGCTAAATGTCTTAATGATACGAAGCAGTTAAAGTATACATATAAATTAATATATTAATTCTCCCCCTGCCACTTAAAAAGTATTTTTTCTTAAATTTTGGGTGAATATTAAAGGTCGTAAACTCAAAATTGTAATAAGCTGTGATAAATTTAGAGACACATATGTGGAGTAAAACAATTGCCCCAAAATACGGCCGCTCTAAAGCAAAACAATTGCCCAAAAATACGGCCGCTGTAATTTAAACAACCGCCAAAAATATGGTCGCTGTAGGGTTAAAAAATTGTTCTAAAATACAGCTTATCCAAAGTAAAATAACTACATGAAAATACAGTCGCTTCGAAGTAAAACATTTGCCCGAAAATACGACCGCTCCGAATTGAAAAATATGGTCGTTGTTAAGTAAAACCATTGCTCGAAAATACAGCTTCTGAGGATAAAAAAAACTGTCTGAATCTATCGCCGCTATGCAGTAATATAACTGCTTTAAAATACGGCCGCTGTGCAGTAAAATAACTGCTTTAAGTACAACCACTCCGAAGTATAAAAACAAACAACTCCTAGAAAATACGGCCGCTATGCAGTAATATAACTGCTTTAAAATACGGCCACTCCGAAGTATGAAAACAAACAACTCCTAGAAAATACGGCCGCTATGCAGTAATATAACTGCTTTAAAATACGGCCGCTTCGAAGTATAAAAACAAACAACTGCTTTA